AGTATTTGTGTATGTCTCCGAATGATATAAAACGCCTCGTTGCTGTATTATGACCTAATGGGTCATGACCGCGTAATGATTTTGTGTTTCGTATTGTGAGCAATTAGAACCGGTGATACTTTTTTACGAAAAGTTGAGTAGTAATTAAACGCGATAAAATCCGTAAATAATACTTTTATTCAATTCTGTAGATATTGTTACAAGCTTAGGGTTCGTGACAATAAAAACTGCCGATTGAATTACCAAAATTTACATTTTTATTACTGAACACCAATTAAAACTTAAAAGACACTAATAATTAATCACACTGATTCACTTTATTTCGAAGCTTCGCTTGTCTCGCCAAATTCAATACTGCACCGATTGCAGCGGCTTTAAATACACATTTTCCATCGAAATATCCAGAATATTCTAGTAAATACGGGCGCTGTCATTTTCATTGTCATGTCATTTTTTGGAAAGCTCTCTTCGCTCTGTTACCCGATACTAGATGACGGTAGTGCCAGACGTCAACTTAGGCGCGCAACAATATGTTCAAGATCGTTCCCGTATCGAGCGTAAATATAAGAAATCATTAGTCTGTAAATATACTGGTTACCTTTCTGAACTGAACACAACAGTGACAGTACTGTTATATGAGGACAACACGTACGGAGACGGACTCCCAGGCAAAAAAGGACATCTAGTAAAACTCACCATCCGATTAGCTTTGTGCTCGTTGGTCACCTTTGCTTCTATAAAAAACATTCATAATCTTTCGCCATATTGAATTTGCTTTAAATATTTAACATACCTACTAACCTACATCATGTTCCAAAAATAAATTATAATTGATTGCTTGTTATAGCTGCCAAATAATTCTTTATTCCTGCGTTTGAAGTGTACTTATTAAAATTAAGCACAAGAAAAATAAGAAAAAATCATCATCATCATTATCATCATTACAGCCCTTCACAAGTCCACTGCTGAACATAGGCCTCCCCCAAGTAATGCCACAAAGCACGGTCCTGAGCCACCTGCATCCATCGACTTCCTGCATGTCTTACCAGGTCGTCACTCCATCTAGTGGGGGGTCGCCCTACACTACGCCTACCGGTACGAGGCTGCCACTCGAGAACCTTTCTTCCCCATCGGTTATCGGTTCTTCGAGCTATATGGCCGGCCCATTGCCACTTCAGCTTACTAATCCGTTGGGCTATGTCGGTCACTCTGGTTTTACTGCGGATATCCTCATTTCTGAGTCTATCACGCAGAGAAACTCCAAGCATAGCCCTCTCCATAGCTCGCTGAGCGACCTTAAGCGTCCTCATACGGCCAGCAGTGAAGGACCACGTCTCAGATCCGTAAGTCATCACTGGCAACACGCCCTGGTTGTACAATCTAGTTTTTAGAGATTGAGGTATACCTGACGAAAAGATATGTCGTAATTTCCCGAACGCTGCCCAGCCGAGTTGAATCCGTCGATTGACCTCTCGATCGAAGTTGGACTTACCTAGTCGGACTATTTGTCCCAGGTAAACGTACTCGTCAACAACTTCGAGCATAGTGCTCCCAACAACTACCGGCATAGGTGTGACATGGACATTAAACATGATCTTTGTTTTGTCCATGTTCATCTTAAGACCTATCCGTTGGGAGGCACTATTGAGGTCATTGAGCATAATGCTTAAGTCCTCCAGCGATTCTGCCATAATGACTATATCGTCGGCAAATCGAAGGTGAGTGATGTACTCGCCATTGATGTTAATACCGTATCCTTTCCAGTCCAGTAGCTTGAAAACGTCTTCCAACGCAGCGGTGAAGAGTTTCGGGGATATAACATCACCCTGTCTTACACCTCTCTGCAGTTGGATAGGTTTCGAACTCTGGTTCTGTACTCGGATAGCCATCGTAGCCCTACTGTACAAACACTTCAGCACTTCGATGTACCGACAGTCAACTTGGCACCGCTGAAGGGACTGTAGCACCGCCCAAATTTCGACGGAATCAAAGGCTTTCTCATAGTCCACATATGCCAGGCAAAGTGGCAGATTGTACTCTTCGGTCTTCTGTACAATCTGCCGCAGGGTATGTATGTGGTCTATAGTACTGAAGCCTTTTCGGAAACCGGCTTGTTCGGGAGGCTGGAAGTCGTCGAGTCTGCGTGCGAGACGATTCGTAATGACTCTCGAAAATATCATGTAGACGCGGCTCAGAAGGGAAATCGGTCTGTAGTTCTTCAAGAGAGCGTTGTCACCTTTCTTAAAGAACAAAACCACCGCGCTTCTGCTCCACGCCTCCGGAGTAGTGCCACCATGGAGGACGGAATTGAAGAGCTCCCGAAGGACTTCAAGTACCGGTTTTCCACCCGCTTTCAGAAGCTCCGCTGTAATTCCATCCTCGCCCGGGGCCTTGCCGTTTTTAAGGTGGTGGAGAGCCATTCTAATCTCGCTCAGACTGAAGTCCGGGATATCATCGGAATAGTGTCGGATAAGACTTGCTCTTGGATCGTTACTCACACTTGCGTGTGGCTCCAACGATGATGTGTACAGCTGCCCATAGAACCTCTCAATCTCACTCAAAATCTCAGGTGTCCCGGAAACGATGTTGCCACACTCAGTCTTCAGCTTTGACAGTTGGCTCTTTCTGGCAGACAGATCTCTGGCAAAGACTTTGGAGCCCTGGTTCCGCTCGATCGCTTCTTTAATACGAGAAGTATTAAAGTTGCGTAAGTCTCGCCGCATGCATTTGGAGATCTGTCTGTTCAGTTGCCTGTATGCTGTCAAATCTGTTGACGATTGCAGCCTCATCTCCCGTCTAACAGCCATGAGATTAAGAGTGTGATCGGAGAGTTTTTGTGTTCTTCTGCGGCAGGTCTTGCAGAACTTAGCTCCGACCGCATGGACAGTTTCCACGAGCTTGTCGTTCATATCGTCCACTGCATTGCAATCTTCTAGGCACTGGAAGCGGTTACGTAACTCGAGCTGAAAGGTTTCGGGATTCTGGATTACAGCACGAGGGGGACGGAGCGTTGACTTCATTAGACGAGACCTCTCCAACTTAACGTTTAGGTTCAGTGTGCCTCTAACCATTCGGTGATCGCTGCCAGTTTTCACCCTTGCGATCACTGAGACATCACTGAACAGTTGGCGTCTGGTCGTCATAATGAAGTCAATCTCATTTTTTGTCGAACCGTCGGGGCTCGACCAGGTCCACTTCCTGTGGGGCCGCTTCTGGAAGAAAGAGTTCATCATGAAGAGTCCCTCTTTCTCCATAAAGTCGGCCAGCTGCTGGCCCCTTCGGTTCCGTTGCCCTACTCCAAATTTCCCTACCTTCAGCTCACCGCTTTCTCTTGTGCCTAGTTTTGCGTTGAAGTCTCCCATCAACACCGTGTAGTGGGTTTTGGAGGAATGTATGGCTCTGGAAATATCCTCATACATTTCCTCCACCTCCTCATCGGGATGTGCCGAGGTTGGTGCGTAAACCTGAATGACCTTCAGCGAATACCGTTTGGTGATTCTGAGTATCAGGTACGCGACCCTCGTCGACACACTCCCAATCTTTACAACGTTGTTGACGAGAGACTTGTGGACGATAAATCCGACACCTCCTTGGGACAGATGATCGCCCTCCCGGTGATAGAACAAGTTGCCGGACTCGAGGATTACCGTGTCCTCCCCCTCTCTTCGGACCTCGGATAATCCAATAATATGCCAGCGCAACTTGTCTACCTCTTCTTCCAGCTCTAGTATCTTCTCGTCAGTCCTCAGGGTGCGTGCGTTATATGTTGCCAGGTCGAGTCGTCGTAGGTGGCAACCGAACCTCCACCGGAGATTCTTAGCACCCCCTTCCCCCGCCGTTACCATGGTCGCCACCGTAGCCAGGAATAGCGGGGCTGCCGGGGACTGGGGGCCGTCTGTAATAAAATACCCAATTATAAATGTATTATAGAAAAAAGTAAATGTAAAGAAAAATAAAGAGCCGAAACGCACGCATTTGAAATTGTTAAGTATTTTTCTTTGAGAGTGGACGTGTATTTGAGTATGATCATTTGTGTTTTATATGTGTATATGTTTTGAAGGTTATTCATTAGTAAGTTAACGACAAACTTGGGAAGGGCCGCTCTAGTCTAGACGAATATTTATCGAACAAATTGGCGATATACTGAAAATGGGCCGAATTGAGACTACCTTTAATCGACGAGCATGTATGCGTAGATACGAGTATATGGATGTAAAGGAAGCGAGAGAGATGTGTCAGGATCGTACTAAATGGAAGTCCGTAGTCTCTGCCTACCCTTCTGGGTGACAGGCGTGAGTGTTTATATATGTATGTCATTTCTGAGTATTAAGTTAACTGATAAGTAAATTATTTGGTACTTATTACAATTATATATAATTCTAAATCACGCTCGTTTAAGTACCATAAGATAAATTATTGATTTTATCCTTAACTTCTAATTAAAAAATGTTATTTATTGTATTGTGTTCGTTTTTTGTTTCCAATATAATATGGTAGTACTGTTTGTTTATTTCGTATGCATATCCATACACATTTGTTAGTAATTTATATAAACTTTGTAGTTCCCCTCTGGACCTCGAAAGAGTATAGACGTGTAAATTGCTTTCTGTCTCAATCATAATAAATTTAATTCTGTTGTGAAAATTAAAATTAAAATAATAAGATATCATAAGCGCAAAGAGGTGTTCTTAATTACCAACTCGTCACAACGTGCACACAACGGCAGCGCGAACGCACACAGACAGTGAGTCCATTCATTACTTCATTGTATTAATACGCACGCAGCGTGTAATCTCAACGTATACTGGACGGAACGCACCCCTAGCCGACCGCGTCTAATTCGTCCAAACTAAGCTGATACCTACGCCTTACCTGCGACGCTGTCGCACACTGAGTGATTCATACCATACTTGTGGAACGAAGATAACTATATTTAATCATATAAGCGTAAGATCCGCGATAACTACCTTTTAATCTATACTTGCCTGGTACTTTTCGTAATGCCGCTTAACCGCTCGCCGTTGCAGGCGTCTACATCGGCGCGCCGAACAAACTTACAACATTGCGACTCGGAACCAAATATACATACTACCCCCGAAAAGGAGTATTATATAAACACCGCTCCAAGGAAAAGAAAACATAGTAATGATACTTCGAATGAATTAAGTATGATTCATGACAAATTCCTATCATTGTTCACGTCTTTCAAAAATGAGCAAGACAGTAAATATTCCATAATTCTTGAACGTATGGGGGAGATTAAACAACAGAACGAGGAAATACGTCATTCGATTAATTTTATGTCCGATAAATACGATTCGCTTTTGGAAAAAGTCCGCAACCTAGAAGAGCAAAACAGTGCTTACTACAAGCGCATTCAAGAATTAGAAGAGAAATTCGAGCGTGAAACCCATGCTACGAAAATTGAATTACGCAACGTCCCAAAGAAAACTCATGAAACCAAGGATGATTTATTAAATATTCTGAAAAAGACAGGTGGAGTCCTGGGTTCAACACTTCAACAGTCGGACGTGAAAAATATATATAGAATTAATACTAAAAACGAGCGAAATAAGCCAATTATAGCAGACTTTACAAGCTGCCTTACGAAGGATAAATTTATCTCAAACCTTAAAAAATACAACAAAACTCATGCCAACAATAAGCTGAATACAAAAGATATTTCAATGGACGGACCGGCAAAACCTATTTACATCTCGGACAACTTACCACAAAAAACGAGGCAGCTGTTTGCAGCTGGGAGAGATTTTGCGAAGAAAAATAATTACGTCTTCTGTTGGACCTCAGTTGGAAGAGTATACTTAAAGAAATCTGAGCAATCCAAGCCTATCCTGATCAAGTGTCACGAAGACCTTAATAAGATGTCTACCGAATGACTAGATTTTAGCTATTTGTATGTAGTGTATTTTTACAAAACTTTTACACAGTTCCTATTGTTAATCCATTCATTTCTTTATTTTAATTTAATTTTCTGTAATAGTAAGGCCCTTTACTCAAACTCACTTACCAATACATTCATTGCATTTATCCACAACTATAATCGTATGCACAATACAACATATACACATTTACTATATATTATAGCTACCGTTTCGCGTTACCCATCACATGTCAGCTATAATACATACATATTATATGTACCATGCCCATGCAACATAACATATTCACATTACATATTACATAACTCTACTCATTCGAACTACATGGCTATAAGACTTTTAGAGTTTAGATCGTATCACATGCAAGCTCAAACTTCTACTACACTAATTACGTATATACAATGTATTATAACATTTAAAAAATCAATGCGTCGTTGTCCATGTAACAATAGTTTGCTGCATAATTTTAAAATTCAATAATCAAAATATTTGTGTTGTTCAAAATGAATTAAATGTTGTTTGTAACCCTACTTGTACTGAGGTGGCGGACCCTGCATTATGCAGGCGACTTGTCCAGGTAACTCCAAACTCACTGTCTATTCTGACAGTTAATATAAGGAGCATTCACTGTAACTTAGATCGTTTTCTAGTGTTTGTTGAGTCGCTTAGTATACCTATAGACATTCTTGTTCTAACCGAATGTTGGACAAAAGAGGTTAAGCCACCGCCGCCTTTAGATAACTATCAAATGTTCTACACAAAAAACAAACTGAACCAAAATGATGGGGTAGTAGCGTATGTGCGCAGTGGTATTGTGGCCTCTGCTAAAGAACCGGACTGTACAGAAGGTAACTGTTTGGTTCTGAATATTGAAGAAAGCTGTGCGGTTATTTGTTCGTATAGACCAGCAGGTTTTCCGAATTCTGCGAATTATCTAAATTCTCTAGAGCGGATTTTGAAAGACACACCTCAAAATACTATAATACTTACCGGTGATATCAATATAAATATATTGCCGGGTAACGTATCTATGAGTGGTGCAAGCTACATTAGTCTCTTGGCATACTATGGCCTACTTCAGGGTGTTGACAAACCCACACGCTTAGAATCATGTATTGATCACTTTATGGTTAAAACGAAAAGTAATTGGCAAACCTTTGTATTCGATTCATTAACTGACCATTCACCCATATTATTAATTTTAAATAGTCCGAAAATTAACAAGTCTGTACCTAATATTAAGCGGCTCAAAATTGACTTTGATGCTATAAAAATTCAATTGGCTAATGAAAACTGGAATGAATACTACAAACTTACCTCAGTTAATAAAGCTGCCGAATATTTAATCTCTACATTACACTCTGTTATTAGCATTAATACCAGGGAAGTTTCCACACCTCACAGAAAACAAAGACTAAAACCGTGGATTACGCCGGGTATCCTTATCTCAATCCGAAAAAGGAATAAGCTTCAGAAACAACATAAAAATACACCAAATTATAAAAATCTAAAAACCATATACTGTAGCTACCGAAACATATGTAATAAGCTTGTTAAATTAAGTAAAATAAATTACTACCGCTCTAAATTCAATCAAAATACAGGATGCATTAAAAGGACTTGGGATTTAATTAAAGATATTTGTAACTTGACTAAAAAAACTGAAAATACATCTGATGAGCTTCTCAACACTAAAACAACAACTACAGAGTCTCTTGATGAGGTAAACGGGTACTTTACTAATATTGGTCTGGAGTTGGCGACTAAAACTATTAACAAATTAGGACTTACACAAGAGCAATTGTCTATCAATGCAGCCAGGTCGAACATGTTACCAAATTCTTTTTCCTTGTTTTTGACTGACTGCGCCGAAGTTCATAAATTTATTTCAAGCCTAAAATCAAGTAATGCCTCTGGTTGGGATAACATAACATCACACATCATAAAATATGCATGTCCTTATATCGTTGAACCTGTAACTTACCTAATAAACCTTAGCTTAAAAACCGGTATCTTTCCAGATATCTTCAAAAAGGCCTTAGTTACACCTATCTATAAAGATGGTCAAAAAAATCTACCGTCGAATTACAGACCAATTTCATTGTTGCCAACCCTCTCTAAAGTCCTAGAAAAAATTGTAAACAGTAGATTGATTAGCTACCTCGAAAAATTTCACCTGTTAAGCCCTAACCAATATGGATTCAGAAAGCACAAATCTACTGAGGATGCTGTCCTCCATTTCACGTCTTTAGCGAATTCTTACTTAAACAAAAATGAAAGGTGTCTCGGTGTCTTTTTAGATCTTCAAAAGGCATTCGATACGGTGTCGATTCCTATACTATTGACAAGGCTAGAAAACCTGGGTATTAGAGGTGTGCCACTGCAATGGTTCAGATCCTACTTAAGTAACAGGACACAGATAGTCAGGATCAAGGAACATTTAAGTAATAGCGCTGTTTGCCATTTCGGTGTGCCACAAGGCAGTACGCTAGGCCCGACTCTTTTTCTCGCTTATATAAATGATCTATGCAAGTTGCAGTCAAAGGACGTTGACATCGTGATGTTTGCAGATGACACAGTACTTTTGTTTCACGACACATCGTGGAGTAATGTTAGGAGTCTCGCTGAAAAAGGCATAAAAACTGTAACGTCTTGGCTAGAAGACAGCCTCCTCACTTTGAATACTGCAAAAACAAAGTATGTTTGTTTTGGTATATTAACCCGTTCTCGACCAGGCAGTAATTTCCAAATTCAAATCCATACTCACCCATGTAACCGGCTACTGCGTGTACCTGCCACGTGTAATTGTGAATATTTGTCACGTGTGACAAGCATAAAGTATTTGGGAGTTATTCTTGATGATGGGCTTAGCTGGGTCCCACAAGTAACTGCTCTAGCGAGTAAAACAAGGAGGCTAATTTATATATTTAAAAATTTGCGTGATGTGGCTAGTTGTGATGTTCTTTTGTTAACATACAGGTCCCTGTGTGAGAGCGTTATTTCATATTGTATTTGCGTCTGGGGGTGCGCAGCAAAGACACACCTCATACTACTAGAGCGTGCGCAACGCGCCGTCCTAAAAGTTATGATGCGGTTGCCTTTTAAATACCCCACACATGACCTGTACAAGCAGTGCCATATGTTATCAGTACGCAAATTATTTGTATACCAGTGTCTTCGTAGATATCACCGCCATTCTGTGCCTTGTCCTCCTATAAGTAATAAACGAGTAACAAGATTACCTGTACCTAGAGCCCAGACCGTGTTTGCTAGAAGAAGCTACAATTTTTGTGCACCAATGCTTTATAATAAATTATTCAACAAAGTTAAAACAGTCAATAACAGAAACGTTAAAACTATTATTAACCTTAATAATCATGAATTCAAGAAAATATTAAAACAAACTCTTAACGACTTGAATTATAATGAAATTGAAGAATTGTTCGTAAAGATCACTTAATCGCTCGTGTGTGAACACACACACACACACACACACACACACACACACACACACACACACATACACACACACACACACACACACACACACACACACACACACACACACACACACACACACAGACGCAATTTGGCCTTACATTAGAATTAGTACCGTATTATCACTTTTTAATTTCATTTTATTTTTTATTAACAAATTTCTTTATAATAGTAATATACTTACATTATAATACTAAGACAATAGATGGGGAAGTCTGAGGCCTGTAGCACAGTTTTTACTAACACAGGCTTCAGAGCTCAAAAATAATTGTAACAATAATGTAATGTATGTTAGTAATAATTTCAAAAAAAAAATTTCAGTTAAAAAAATATTATAATAATACGAGTAAAATATAGTACGAGTACGTTTACAATTATCCTTTGTAAGTTTGCCGGGGGAACTAAAGAGCAGCGCAAAAGTACTGCTCCACTTCCTGTACTATTTACTGTAAACCTACAAACCTATAGTAGTCTAAGATTTAAATTAAAAAAAAGTCAATTTAAATTTTCAAAAATCACATCGGTTCTTTGAGCTATATGGACGCCCTATTGCCACTTCAGCTTACTGATCCGTTGGGCCACAGCCCAAAGTAGTGGAGACTCTGGTTTTATTGCGGATATTCCATTTCTAAATTTATCATGCAGAGAAACTTTTAGCATAGCCCTCTCCATAGGCTCAGTGAGCTTGGGCTTCCTCATACGGCCAGCAATGAAGGACCACATCTCGGATCCATAGTCATCACTGCCAACATTGGTTGTACAATCTTGTTTTCAAGTTTTGAGGTATACTTGACGAAAAGATGTGTCGTAATCTCCCGAACTAAATGGCGAAACTTAATGGTTTCATCGTTAAAGTCATCGCATTCTCTTACAAATTGTACGTACGTCGAATACAAATTCAAAACGTAATAGATTTAAACAAACATTCCTATTAAGAGTGAGCGAACGATGTCGGCTCACAAAAAATATCATTAAATACTCAGATAGCGCCGCATAGGTGATCATTTCATTAATGACAGTGTTGCTGTGAACCGGCGATGATAGGCGCGTCATCATTAATCATTTGAGAGTTCCTTAATTTTTATATTCTCAATGTATTGTATATTCTCAATGTAATGGGTACCTTCGGACAACAGAAGAACGTAAGCTTTTTAATATTACGTTTGTAAATGAGTGAACGTTTTATTTTGTTAACGTACTCGTATTGAAGTATTTTAAGAGATTTTATTATTATTTCAAGGCTTTCAGTATTTATTGTAATAAATAAACAAAAAATAACGCCAGTTATAAGTTACAATCTGTAAAACAGTATAAGGGTTGAATTTTCCAAAATCCTTTTTATTGTATGTCTACGTTGAGAAAGGAGTGTATATGCCAAATACCCAAGTCAATCCAGCGTATAATTTTAAGAGATAGCTTGATTGAGTGGTATTTCGCTTATATACGTATAGATTAACTCATAACGGGTAACTGTTAGGCAGAGAGTATATTTTTTGATA